TGCTGGTCATCTTCCCATGCTGCAAAACCTTTGCCTTTTGACCTCGGGCGGAAGCCGGGTCTTGATCTTTTTCCTCCTTTCTTACCATAACCTTTTGGTCGACCTTTCTTGAAGGACCTGCCATAGATGCGGCGCTTAGAGTATGAACCCTTTGCACTGAGAACCCAGAATTCGTTCTCTGTGTACAGACCTGTGAAACCTTCTTCACCCGTCTCTTCATCAAAGACCCAAAATCCGTACTCACCTTCCTCGGTCTCTCCTTCCTTGATGACGTAGAAGTTGGACCTTTTGCGGTGCGTGATGTTCGGGTCGGCAACACCTGTGCGAGAAACGGCAAAAAGTTCTAAGAACAGCTGTTTCACTTGGAGATAGGTATACTGAGGCATTGCAATTTGACGGATGTTCATGGACGAGACAAAACGCTCACGTTGTTGCTCGTTGAGGCCTGCTTGAACTAGAAAAATCAGTGACATCAAATTGTCTGACAATGGAAACTGCTGTGCATGTCTGGTCCTTCTATTTGTAATGGTCTGTTCTCTGAGCTCTTGTTGATAAATTAGCTTATCTTCATCTGTTACTATTCCATTATAGTGCAGTCTTTGCTCATCAGTGAGTGCCGCCGTAAATGCCGGAGTGCCTGCTTCGGGAAGATCGGATATGTCTAGCAGATCGGACCAAGAAGCCAAAGAAACACATGATTTACTCCCTTCACGAAGTATGGTCTCAATGTGTCCTTGAAATGAGCGAGGCCACGATCCGGATCTCGGAGTAGGGCATTATCGAGTATCGACTTATAAAACGAAGCGGAGCCAATGAGGGCATTCTTTAATGATGGTCCGTGCTTATCTGCATCCAATATTGTGATCCCTGACCAGTCATCAATTAAATCTTCATATTCAAACCAGCTTGATTGGCCATCAAATTGGGGTGGAACTTTCGGTGTCATTTTGATGCCCATCCGGTTTTCGGAATGACTGGTGGCGGCATATGCTTCCGGCTCTTCATAAGAAACAATTTGGAGTTGTTCTTCATCTGAATCCATGTTGTGGATTAAGACCATGGCAGCTACTCTAAGACTTGACCTACAGGTTGCCTCCGCAAGTCCGATATACGGAGCGTATGCAGAGAACAACAGTTCGGCACACGGATCTAGACTTGGCGAAGGCACAGGCTCCGCTACCACTTTGAGGTAGCTATCCCCGTATTGAGGGAGCCCTGGAAACAATCTAAACACCTGCGGTCACGAAGTGGCTGCTGCACTTTTTACTACGCGGCTTGCAGTGCTCTTGAGCCATGCGGAGCGCGCATGAGATAGATTGAATTATGTGTACATGTCAACATGCATGAAAGCATTGTGTATAGACACGTAAAGCAAAATAAGTAACAGGGGGAGGGGCGGGGCAAAATACGGCAGGTTGTCCGGAAGAGGTCGCAGGGGGTTGGGGGGTCGGCGGGCAGGATCGGACAAGGCGTCCAGCGTGGCCTGGGTTCCCGGTGCCAAGGGGGCTGCTGTGAGGGTGGCGCGCGCACGGTCACCTTGGCATATCTGCCCGCGCTCACGGCGGCCAACGGCAGCAGCATCCTCCAGGGCGGGTGCCTCAGGCGGGGGTGGCCGGGGTCCTCGGCGCGCCTGGTGGGCGGCCGTGAGCAAGTGTTCCCAATTTCCGGCCAAAATCGATGCGACTCGCTGCAGCAGCGCTTGGCGCCCCGCCCCTTCTGGCGGCTGGTGGAACAGCAGTTTGAAAGCAAGGGAGGGGGTAGAACGCTCTGAGCCAATCTTGCGGAGTGGCAAGAGCAATGCCCGGCGGCTGCAGGGGCTAGGATGGTGGGGATGGGGTCGCGATCTCGGCCGCGAGGTCGACGGTGTCGAGCCACGCCCACGCGGCAGGGGGGATGGGTGGTTCGGGGGGCAAAGGGGGGTCCGGATCGGTAAGGCCGGGGTTGGTGTTCACGCGGCAGGGAGTTGGCTGGACTGGTGTGCTGGTGGTGGGGGATGGTGGGGGGGTGGTGGGGAACGGTCGCGGGGCGCAGGGCGGGAGGGCGAGCTGTCTTCATCGGAAGAGGGGACCGGGACCGCGGCCGGCGGTGGGGGGTGTAGGGGGATTGGGGCTCGTGAGGGGGGCCCGAAGCCGCAGAGCGAGGAGGCCTGGCGCAGTACGCATCGGAGCGAACATCTAACTCACTGGCCCACTGCCGTCCCCCGTAGGTTTGGAGGAGGATCCTGGGCAGGTGCCGGGAAGTACCCCGCACCATCTTCACATTGGTGTCCCTGGCTACTTGTCCAGTTGTAACATGAGTTAAAGTTACTTAGCTACTTATCGTATAAGCAAGTATATAAGTAGAAATAAGTAGAAATAAGTAGAAATAAGTAGAAATAACTTTTTTGTATGTTTTTTTGGTATTCCACGATTACTGCTAAATTAACATGTCCCGTTCTCCCTTTTTTTTCCGCGCAAGTATCATGCATGTAGGAATGTGAGAACATTTTCAGCGTCTTTGCGCGTTTTCCTAAAGAAGTATACCGGCACGGTTTGGAAAGCTTTGTCAAGAGACAACAGCCATGTATTGTCACTGGACGGGTGTAGTTTCCAATGTGACAGAGCTGGATTCTCAGCGGGCAGCGGCTGCAGTGGTTGGCACAAAAGAAAAATACGGCCGTGGGATTCCACCGCGCCGTGGATTTCTATTGCTTGTTGGGCCGAAAGAATCTTGTGTTGACCACAAGCAAACGTGATACCCTTGCATTCGACAGAGGTTGCAACATAAGCGTCTTGGCCAAACCATGTCTGCAGGGCATGGCACTGAGCAGTTGGTCCACGCAGGACCGGAAGAAAAGAACCTCGGTTCTCATGTTGAGAGACGTCTATGTGATTCATTTCCAATAAGGCAGAAGCGGAAAATCCGTCTAATTTTGTCAACGTCTCTGCAATTCTTTTGAAGAGACGGTGTTTTCTTTCTGCAGGAAAGCAGTCCACACACAGTCTGTGTGCATCCCATTGCAGTGGGAGATGCAAAGAATAATGATGTTTGGGACGGCAGACATCGATTGAATACACAGACGCAAATTTGTCCAGGTGAACTTTTTGCAACCGTTTCATCTCGATGCTTTTCACTTGAAGGTTTCCACCGCGTTTGGCATCAGTCCAGCAGCATATCAGCGCTAACAGCGCCGTCAAACATTCGCAGTGGGGCAGCATAGCTGGAAAATCAGGCAATATGACTTCCCAGGAAAATGCAACCATCAAAGGTAGCACTGACAGAGCTTCAGATGCGTCTCCGCGGAAGTCTCTTTCTTTCTGCCATCTTTTCTGCGTGAAAATTTTGTTGATGTCCAAGGTCGACTCTTTGGAGGCTGTCCAGCATTGCAGAACGTATCTGCGTACTGTATCGATGTCGCAGGAGGTCTTGTCCAAAAGAGCATTATACCAGAGCCCCAATTCTTGAGGCACTATGCCATTTGCCAGGAAGCAGTGCATGGGGTCGTACCTCAAGGATGATAATGGAATCCAGTTTCGGAGGTCTTCTTGCACTAAAATAGACGCCGACAAGGCATGCAGGTGCCATCCCAATAGCTTTTCCGCTTCTTCTCTTTCCTTGCGAGACAGCAAGGTTTCGAGGTGACGTTGGATCTGGATAAGATTGTCTTGCGTTTGCAAGTGGCAAGCATGCACATCACAGCAACTGATGTGCACGTGGTTCTGCACTTTGTCATGTCCGTTTAAAACATTTTGACATAAGAAGCATGGCTTCAGAGCAGAACTTCCTTTGCAACCGGTGAGCAAACGCAAGCCATCTGCGTCAGCTACCAGAGACACTTTGGCAATGGTGCAAAGGGTTGGTTCATCATTCAGAACAAGCGTGAAGCTATGCTGGGTTTCTTGCCTGAGCCACCGTAGATAGTGAACAAGCGACTGTGGATAGCCATTTGCGATGCTCTGCATTTCGCGAGTCCGAATGACAGCAAGTGTCATCCAAGCATCATCAGCCCAAAGCACGGGCATCTGCGCAATGGCTCCATACGTCATTGCTGCCTTTCTCTGCAAATCAGGTTGCAAAACATTACCTGGAGTTGCTTCGTCCCAAGCAAGGACTAGATGCAACTGCGGACCATGTTCTTTGAGAACATATGCCATGGACTCAGAAAAAAACTGCGATCCATCACACTTAGCTTGCAGCACGTCCGGGACAGAAGTAACAGCCATGTGGCAACATGGATCTCCGAAGGTTACCGTCGTTACGACGTCACTAACCTTTGGAAACTTCAGCCGTTTGCGTTTAGAAGTTCCACGGCCTTGTCCATCATCTCGGCTGTCACACCTTGAATTTCACGCAGAAATTCAAATTGCTCCGAAGGTTTAGCGTTTTGATCTAGTAGTATATGTTTTCCATGGCTTCTTTTCGATCCCGCTTTCGCTTTCATTGTTTTTACATACCTGTACACGCGTGAACCATACATGCAGCAGAAGAGACACATGACATGCTCACGGCCATCTATATAGCAATCATGGTACTTCGGTTTGCGGTGGAGGAAGGTTCTTGCACACGTTTCGTTCTTGCTTAGACTATATATCTATGTTAGATTTTCTGCGTATATATAATCCGTCGTTACATATAGGTCTTTCCTGTGTAATCAATGGCATGGCTTGCCTTTTGCGAGGTAGTAACCTACATTAATATATATATATATATAGTATATAGTATAAAACTCACCAATTCGTGCATGAATGGAAAGATCTGCATGGAATTGGCATGCACACACCAAGCGGTTCAGCGCAGCACGACTTTTCCCGGAAGCCGCAGGACCTTGCGCTCTGATCCATCTACGGCTAAAGCTTCAGTCCACATATCAGACGGAGTGTGAGACAGCACCCTCACAGGGACAGCCTGTCTACGTGCGATCCACGTTTCACAACATGTTGCTGCTCACAGCAACACAGAGCCCAAAGCGAAACTGGCCTAAGGATCGCAGCTACCACACACGACAGGAACAGTCAGCAGACTCAAGGGGGGCTCTTGCCAGTTTTGCGGCGCTTGTCACCGCCCTCACTGTCGTGGCTGCGAGCTGCCCTCTTCTTGGGCGAAGCTTTCGCCGCAGCATTGGCCTTGGGCGCCGCCTTCGCCTTCGCCTCCTTTTTGGGCAGCAGGGAACGCAATGCGCTCTGCACTTCCGTTGCTTGCTTTAGCAGCAACTTCACATCATTGCCTTCGAACGGCAAAGCCGTCAAAGGCAGCAGATCGCCACCAGCGTCCTTCCACAGCTCGCGGGTCGACTCATGCACGTTGATGCACTCACGAGCCGCCGTCACCCAGGTCTCGAGCTTGCCCATGCAATCATCTTTCGACTGTTTGATTCCCTCAGGAATCTCACAGCCGCTTTTCTCCACTTTTTCCAGCAACTTCGAGACACCTGTGGCCGTGCCTTGCAAGGGACCCAAGGCCTTAGCGGCTTTGTCAGCTAACGCAACGTTCTTCGCCAACAACTTCTTGCGATCCACCTCCGGCTTTCCTTTCTTATCGGACACACTGCCTTCCGCAGCCGGCAAATCCAATTCTCCATCGGATGACGCCTCTGCGTTGGCAGCGTTATCCTTCTTCTTTTTTCCACCCTTGCTTTTCTGTCCCTCTCTCTCATGTCGCAGGACTTGCTCCTCAATCTTTGCATACTCTTCTCCCCACGACAATTCCCGCACGGGGACAGCGTACACTTGCGTGCCCAGTTCTTCGGAAAACCGATTGGGACACGCTTCCACGAGGGTCTTGTCCCAGCCTTGGTTAACCCACACCGACAGAGGTAACTCCTTTTGGGTGCACGTAGCACGAAAAGTGGAGATCCTGCGATCTGTCAGAGATCTCACAAGTGTGGCCCGCACGGTGACCCACTGAATGCGACCTCCCTGCTTCTCCTTTTCCTTCGCAATGGCGCGAAAGAAGGAGTGCGTCTCGGCCGGACTGAAATCTTTCAGTTCAGTCCTGTCTCCCAAGTTGCGCTGCAGCATCGCTTTTGCTGACCAGCAACCAGTGCAAAAGAAGGAGCGACCATGCATCCTGCCCGCAGCAGAAGCATGCTCCAGGCCGCACAAGCGACATACGCGACGGTCCGCCATGCCGCAAGCCACCTTGCAAAACAAAGGTCCGCACACTAACCTGTCCAAAAACCCAAATGGCTGCGGAGAAGTGCATGCGAAGGGCCTGGCAGACAGCAGAGGTAAGTGAGAGAGACCATATATATCCGCGAAGGAAACTGCAGTCCAGTAGAACCAGCGAGAGCATTGATTGTGTCTATAATCCATTTCGGAGCAGCCCATTCGGAAGAAAAAAAAGCCAAAATCAGAAAATTCCGGACACATTTCGGACACATTTATTTTTCCAATTCCGGACACATTTCCCTTTAAATTATAATTAAAACCGGACACATTTCCTTTTTCCGGACACATTCGGACACATTTCGGACACATTTCAAAACGACCGATTCAAAGGCACCAACGTCTCCCTCATCGATTCTAGCTGGCACTCAGCCTGGTACAACCACGAGGCTTCTGGAAGACTGTTTTCAGTCTGTTTTCAGTCTCCTCCTGCCAGCGCAGTCGCAGCTGCTCCAGCGCGGGGATCGCTTCTTCCACCTGCCGCAGATGATATGCACCTACCCTTTCCACAAACCGCGGCCAGTGCCCATCCCAGTCTGTGTTCCGAGTCCAGAGACGACAGACGTCTGGAAGCACAGCCATTTCCTCAGACATGACTTTCTCAATCATGCGATTGCATCTTTCAATGCATTTCGCACAGTCCAGCTGCCCTTGCGAGTGCGCCATGCCTTCTGCCTGATCCAAGAGTTCAACCACAATTCTCCAACCATCCTTCCAGAGGTCATCACCGTCCGGAAGAACTTCCGGAGTCGTAGCCGTTGCTTTCAAACATTCCCGAAAGACCCGCAGTCTTTCTTTTGAGATGCAAAAGTCGGTCGAAGCCATCTTCCCCAAGGTTTCTTTGCACTATGACACTTTGAGCCAAACATGCACGGAACCATGCGCATCGAAGCCCTCGCGCGTGTCCAACCCGGAGAAAAGCACGGACTGGAATGTGAGCGTTTTCTATTAAGACATGTTGTGCAGACCATTATATAACCACGCATTTCACCTAGCATAGTGCATCTCCCCAAGTTGTTTTTAATCCCAAACCCATCCCCAAAACGGCAGCGCAGCTTCTTCTTTTGCCATGTCTCCAGTGCATGTTGTATCCTCTATAGAGCGGCATCCGCAGTCACGTCGCAGGTCAGCCATGAAAGTTGATGACCACATTATGCCGGCTTCTCTTCTCCTTCTTGGCTGCACGGTCGCTGCTGGAGGAGGACCTAGCGTCCTTGCGTCGTCCGTGACTCTTGCGAGGTACCGACGCTTCACGCGGAAGTGACGGCGGACGCTCGCGATGGGAAGACGCGACACTCACGGCCCTCTCCGGCGCACTGCGGGTCATCATCTGTGCGGGACGTCCCGCAGACGTGGCATCCAGGTGCACACGACTGCTCTTCACGTCCTGTCCGATCTTCTTGGCTTTCTCCCATGCTCCCGTTTGTTCCTTCTGGTACGGAGTCATTCGCTCGTAGGCCTGCCAAGCCAAGCAGTATTCGGACAGCCACTGATGCTGATCCAGAGCGGATGGCGTCCCCGCGACGCGTGAGCCGCATATCTTGCACATTTGCTTCTTGGGCCCCCCTTTCAAGTTTTTGCCGCCGCCTTTATGCCTGAGTCAGCGTGCTCCCTCTTCTTCTGCGGAGTCTTCTCCCCAGGTTTCGGTGGCGGTGGTCCAGGAGGACTCAGCGGAGCCTGCGATCCGCGCCTCTCCCGACTTGCCTCAGACCGTCTCTTATGCTTCTTTTCTTTCTCCTTCTTCTCTTTCCGGTCTGAGCGGTCCCTACGGCCACGGGATCGCGATCGACGGGAACGGGAGCGGCGCCTGTCGGCGCGTCCGCGTTCCTGACTGCCTTTCTTTGGCACTAAGCGCGCCTTCCGCTCTTTCTTTCCCTCCGGATCCGGTTCCTCTTCCGCTGCATCCGGAAGGTCCCCAGACACCTCCTCCTCCTCGGAGGATTCTCTCTTGTCCATCGGACTAAAGGGCGACGGCTTGAGGAGCATGCACCTGGCCAAGCCGAAACGAAACAACATGCAGAGTATAAGTATATATATATATGCTCAAACCGTGCATCGAAACATATAGAGTGCTTCGAAATACATATAGAGATATAATAAAGACATGTGTCAGCGGTTTGCAAGCACGTTCCGCGCGCATGTAGCAAGCGGAATCACCATGATGGTGATCACGCAGGCAGACACCACGCAGGTGCCAGAACGCCACGAAGGCACTCGACACACCTCGCAGGTATGTCCATGACCACCGCGCAGGTAGTCTGCCATACGCACCACGCAGGTGCTTGCTCTCACCACGCAGGTGAGCACAACGCATCCCGCAGATGCGTCTGCGATCACCTCGCAGGTGATCCGTTGCAAGCACCCCGCAGGTGCTTGCCCTCACCACGCAGGTGAGGAGAGCACATCCCGCAGATGTGCATATATATCACCTCGCAGGTGATCCGTTGCAAGCACCACGCAGGTGCTTGCCCTCACCACGCAGGTGAGGAGAACACATCCCGCAGATGTGTGATCACCTCGCAGGTGATCCGATGCAAGCACCCCGCAGGTACTCGCTCCCATCACTTCGATGAGAGCAAAACATCACGCAGATGTTTCCGGTCATCACCGCGCAGGTGATGCGACGTACAAATGCCATGTCGCTGCGACACTGTGTACCCCCAAGGAAAACAAGACATGAAATCGACTCAGACCACAAGATTCCTTAATCATAAAAATTATAATAAATCACTTGGAAAGAAAGAAAAAAATACAAAGTGAGACCATGACACAATGCAGATTCCAATTCCAACAAACAAACCCAGCGCACCTCCAGGCAGCGTCTGTGCAGCACGGGAAAGAGACACCCTTGAGCCTATATGCGTGACGACATGACATATAATAGAATCCTTGTATACCAGCTGTGGCATGCAATATTTCTCCAACTAAGACATGTTGTTTCATATCTCACTTGCGCCGCAACCCCTCCATGCCATTTGCTTTTCCTCAGCATGACACGGAAAATATGTCCCTGCTACTTGTAACCTCTACGTGCCCAACAGCTAACAGTGCAATAAGCGCGATGATAGCACCTTGAGCAACCACCTTTGTATCGCTGCAAGACATCCTTTGGGATCTTCTTCATCAAGGTGTCCCTGCGATCAGTGTATCCCCCCTCGGACATGTCTCCCGCGGCGGAGGATGCCGCAACAGCAGCGGGACGCTTCAAAATCTTTTTCACGGCAGACGCAGGCCTTGCCATACCCTTCTTCTTGCCTTTCGACTGCTTGGCAGGTTTCTTGCAAGGCCTTGCCTCAAGATTTTTTCCAGCCGCCCCTTTCCCTTTATTAGTCAACTCCTCCCGCAAAGCCGCGATTGCCGCTTGCGGCCCGCAGGTCTCGCTCTCTGCTTCCTACCGTTTCTCTGCCTCTGCAATGGGCTGCGTGGCAGCAGCAACAGGCTTCGAGTCTTCCAAAGCCAACGCAGGCGCTGCCACGGTCACCTTTGCGTCCCGAGGCTCCAACATCCGAAAGCCTGGTATGTCAACCTCGGTCTGTCGAGATTGTGTCTGCACACGCGCCACTAAGGTGGCTGCAGCATGCACAAAGCAGCAGGATCAACTTGACCACTTGCCGGCAACACTGACATGGAAGACATGCCTTCCTTAGGTGCCCTCAAACGGAAATCAGCGATGACCCGCCGCAACCTTGCTTTATCCATAATTTCCGGGGAACCCGGAATCAATCCCGTCGGGAATGCAGCAGCAAACAAAGAAACTGGAATCTCCTCTGGATTCTCGGGCAAAATTTCCAAACGGACACTGGCAGCTGCTGCCTTATTCAACCAACGGCGCATGCGCTCCTTATGTGCCCTCAGGAGCTTCACCTGCTGCGATTCTGGCCACGTCTCAACATTGTCCGCATAGAAGGACAATGCTACCTAAAGTGCCATAGGACGCCTCCGTTGGATTCTTCAGACCCAAAGTGGCAGCAAAATTAGTCAAGAGCTCAAGTTTATAAACTCCAGCGGCACGAGATTCTAATTTCTGCCACCATTCCTTGGATAAATAGTTCGGCAAAGCGGTGAAGTCTTGCAAGCCAGCACGGCTTGCCAGATCCTCCTGTGACTCACTTTGCTCGGCAACCAATGCCTTCAACTCATCTAAAATTCCTACACTCCAGACATCGGAGAAGGACTCCATGATGCGACCCGCCATCTCCACAGAGATGACGTGCTTCTGCACAATCGGCTTGAGTCGTTCCAATTGTTTTCGCTGCAGCTCATCGTAATGAGGTAGGGTCTTTACACCAAACAAAAACTTTTGGGTCGAAACTATTTCTTTCAAAACTTGAGCTATGACGCCTACGATCATACAAAAACGATAACAAAAGCAACCTACTTAGTAAAACCTTCAAAATCCAAGAAAAACACAAGTAGCTAAGTAAAAATAACTTTTTCATGTTCCACCACCTTACAATACTGATCTCTACTTTTTAGTAGCTAACAAACTTATAAGTAACACCAAAAAATCTCCTACTTAGTTTTACTTATCACACTATCTCCAGACTTATGCCATCGGCAAGTCTACTTAAAGTCAAGGTATAAGTCCACAAGTAGCAAGGGACACCAATGCAGGGAGGCGCGTGGCAAAGCCCAAGTGGAAGGCTGCTCCTGCGAGGGAGTCGCGAGCAGCGGCGGCGACCCGGTCTGCCGCTGTGAAGGCCTCAGGTGCCGGGTGGTGGCGGAAGGCTGCTTCCAGGACGCGCGCTGGCATGGGAAGGGATTCGGCCAGGTGGGCACGCGCCGCCTCCCATCACGGGGCGCCGGGGCGATCGCCTCCAGGCTTGCAAAGCCCCGTCGAGCAGCGTTCCGGTGGCGGCATGGAGCAGCGGGACGTATAGCCAGGAGTTGGCTGTTGCTCGCACTGGCTGGTGGGGTGGCCCTTGGTGATGCCACAGTCGTGGCGGGCTCGGAGGCGCGTGGGGCGATGGCATTGCCAGGAGGGCATTGGTACAGGTTGATGCCAAAATCGTTGCAGGCCGCGGACAAGGCGGGGTCTTGGGCAGGGACACATGGGGCCCGGCAGAGCGCGCTCGTGGAGGGGTGGACGCGGGCGCGCGCGCGCGCAATGCAGGAGAGGTGGTACGCTTGTCGGCAGCCACGCGAAAACGTGGGTTGGTGGCGGGTGGGGCAAGGGGTGAGGACGTCCATGCAAATGGGACATGGGGTTGCTGGGGTGGCGAGGTGGCAAAGGGGGTTCGGGTTGCCACCCAGAACTTCCATTCCTCCTTATTTAAGGAATTCCTCCTTATTTAAGGAATTCCTCCTTAAAATTCCTCCTTAAATTAAGGAGGAATTTTTGAAAAGTTCCTCCTTAAAATTCCGCCTTAAATTTTCAAGTGCAAGGAGATCTTGCACCTCCTTCAGCAGGAGACTTGAAACCTCCTTATCCCAGATCCTGGCAGCAAAACTTTTCACTTCATCTCTGGAATCACTTGTGCTCGAAAACTTTGCAGAACACTCATGCCTATGGAATAAGGGTTGTGGCTTCCACCTTTCACAGCTCCTAAGTGAGCTAGGAAGCCACCAAAGTCTTCGTCTCGATATGTCCAACTGTCTGATGGACAAGAGTTCTGGAGCAATAAATCTAAGAAGCTGTGGTGCTTTGGTTTGATCTTCCAAGTATGGTCAGTTTCGTTTTCCAAGCTCTTGCACAACAGCAAAAACTTTCTGCCATGCAGCAGCATTGACGGGTGATTCCATAGATTCTTGGACAAGAAAGAATAGCATTGCCACAGTTCTGTGGCAGCCATTTGTGATTGTATATTCAAGCACATTGTCATCAG